CAGGGCTTATCACGAAAGCACTAGAACCACTACAAATGAAATTAGATTTATTTACTCAACAGATGTCTGTACAAATGGATGAATTTAAAACCCAGATAATGGAGAATAAACAAGAAATAGCCAAGTTAAGTCAAACAGGGAACAAGTTGGAGGGAAAAGTTGATTTAGTAGACCAACAGGTACAGGATCTCAAAACAAAATATGACTCCCTGGAGGAATCTCTAATAGCTTTAGAGTATGAGAAAGCTGCATATATAGTCAGATTGCAAAACATACCTGAAAAGAAATCTGAAGATATTAGAGAGGCTGTTGTTAAAGCCCTAGCTGAGGTCTTAGAGACTCCTGAAAGTGAAATGCACCAAGAAATTGAGTTGGTATACAGGAGGAATTCTGCTTATGCCAAAAGAAATAGGGTACCCAGAGAGGTGCATGTGAAATTCCATAAAAGAACAATACGGGACAAGGTTTTGGAAATATCTCGGACTACAACAATAAATATACAAGGAAATGAAATTAGAGTTCTGAGGGAGACTCCCTGGAGAATAAGAGAGAAGAGACATGACTATCAAACCCTAGCTGAACTTTTGAGGAGAAATGATATAACATATAGATGGCTAATACCTGAAGGCTTAGCCTTTATGTACAAAGGGAAAAATTTCAGATTAAGTTCTATAATGAAGCAAGAAGAATTCCTAAAAAAACATGGTCAAGAACTTGGATTGGAAGAAGAAGAATCAAGTCAATCGGAGGAAGAATCACAAGAGGAAGGAGCGAGGGAAACAAGTAAAAAATCAAGAAGAGCCCAAAGAGGGAAAGATGGGAAATTTGAAGCATCAAGAGTAACTACAAGACTGCAGCTCAGGAAGGATGAGGAGCTCAAATATAAAGACAATGGGGAGAAAGAAAATTAGAATAATATCTGTTAATGTTAATGGTTTAAATTCCCCTCAAAAAAGGAGGAAGATCCTACATCAAGCCTACAAACTTAATGCCGATGTGTTTTGTATACAAGAAACACACATTAAGAGAGGAGATGAGCGACTACTGGATTTTAAAAAACTAGGGTAAGAGTACGTAGCTGCTGATACCTGTAAAAAAAGAGGGGTAGTCACTTATGTTAAACCCCACCTCCAACCTGAATTGGCGTTTAAATCCGAAGATGGAAGAATTCTAATAGTTAAAATCCAAAGACAAAATAAAACAGCTCTAATAACTAACATATATGCCCCTAATCAAGAGCAAGGGAAATTTTTTCAAAAACTAAGGAAGAAACTAATGGAATTCTCAGTAGAGGAAACATATATAATCGGCGACTTTAATGCAGTTTTTGATTTGCGAGAGGACAGAAAAAGTCAGGGGCGGAAAATGGTTAAATCAAACAAACTACCACATGCGTTTCTTTTATTGGCTGAAGAATTAAAACTAGCAGATGTATGGTGAGTCAGGAATGGGAGCAAGTCAGATTTTACATATTTTTCATCCCGCCACCAATCCTGGTCCAGGATTGATATGGTCTGGGCATCTAGTACAACCCTGACAGAGGTAACAGAAATGGAAATTTTACCATCAACATTTGCCGACCATAATCCCCTGTTACTGGAAGTTCAAGACTACCCTAAAATATCAAGATGGACAATGAAAGCATGGATGCTGAATAATGGAAACTTTGTAAAAGAATGTAAAGAAGAATTCAAGTCCTTTTTTAAATTAAATTTGATACCAGAAACTAATACAGACATCGTATGGGATGCATTTAAAGCCTTTGCCAGGGGAAGAATGATCAGACAAGAAATTTGGTTAAAGAAACAAAAACAAGAGAAATATAAGCAAATAGTAGGGCAAATCCAAAAATATGAACAAAATCTGAAGAAGACTCCGAGCACAAAACAATTAAGAATAAACATTATAGGATTACAACATCAACTTAATTGCCTACTAGCACAAGAAATAACCAAAAAAATAAATTACGCAAGACAAAATTACTTTGAACAAGCAAATAAACCCACCAGATGGCTGTCTTATCAGTTGAGGAAAGAAAAAGAGGAAAGAACAATAAAAATACTGAAGAATGAACAGGGCAAAAAATGTTTTAGTTTAAATGATTTCAAAGAAATTGCAAGGAAATACTATAAAGAACTATATGAACAAAAAAATGAAAGTCAACAAGAAATTGATCTATTTTTGAATAAATATAATAAGAAAAAATTTACACAAGACCAAAAAAAATCATTAAATGAACGCATTACTATGTGTGAGATAACAGAAGCCATTAAGAGCCTAAAGATTAAAAAGGCACCTGGAACAGACGGACTACCAGCGGAGTTTTATCGAACATTCTTAAAGGAAATAGATTTGCCATTACAGCTGACAATCCAAAACATATTAGAGAAGAATAGATTCCCTGAAACATGGAAGGAAGCCTTGATTACATTATTACCAAAGAAAGAAGCTGATCCAACATTAATAAAGAATTATAGGCCCATTTCGTTGCTTAACACCGATTATAAAATTTATGCCTCAATTATTGCAAATAGATTCAGGAAAGTGCTTCAACAAATAGTCCATTCTGACCAAGCAGGGTTTCTACCGCACAGACATTTTAGGAACAATGTGAGGACAATTCTTAATGTGTTAGAGTTTTATGAAGCAAACTATGGAAGACAAATGGCCCTCTTATTTATCGACGCTGAAAAAGTGTTCGATAACGTTAATTGGGAATTTATAAAAAGAAACCTGATACATTGGGATTGCGGAGAAATGTTTTTGAGAATGATACAGGCGATTTATCAACACCAGGAAGCTAAGATAATTATTAATGGCGACTCCACACCAAAATTTGCAATACAAAAGGGTACGAGGCAGGGGTGTCCGCTATCCCCGTTACTTTTTATTTTTACAATGGAAGTATTAAACAATATGGTGAGAGCGGACCCCCGAATTAAAGGACTGAAGGTGAAAGGAGAGCAGTTTAAATTACAGGCTTACGCCGACGACTTAGTTTTTATCTTAGAAGAACCCCTAGATTCAATTGAATATCTACTTAACACCCTTCACAGATATGGACAGGTAGCAGGTTTAAAAATTAACTTTCAGAAATCTAAAATATTAACTAAAAACTGTTCTAAAGACACCGAGGACTTGTTAGTAGAAAAGTCTGGATTTATAATTAGTAAAAAAGTTAAGCACTTAGGAATCTGGCTAACTAATAAATGCAGCGCTTTATTTGACAACAACTATAAAAGAATCCTGACCGAAATCAGGAAGGATTTAGAAAACTGGAAGGACTTACAGTTATCCTTGATGGGAAGGGTGGCAACTATTAAAATGTGTATTCTCCCAAAAATTATGTTTCTTTTTCAGGCATTACCAGTTATTAAAAATCAAAAAAAATTTAAAGAGCTAAACACAATGGTTTCAAAATTTATCTGGCAAGCCAGGAAACCTAGGTTTAAGTTGAAACTTATGCAGGAAAAGACATTGAAAGGTGGTCTAGGTTTGCCAGACTGGCAATTATATTACAAAGCCTCAGCTATGGTATGGTTGAAGGATTGGGGGACATTGTCAAATAGCAGGCTTCTGAAACTGGAGGGCCACGATCTCCCCATGGGGTGGCACGCTACCACCTGGTACGATAAGGGGAGGAAAATATTTGAAAAACATTATATAAGAGGCACTCTACTTAAAATATAGAGAGAAATGAAGCAGAAATATTATCTAAAAATACCCAGATGGGTATCCCCTATTGAAGCCTTTGCCATCCCAAATTTGTATGACCATGAAAAAAAACTATGCTATGCAGATCTATTAGACGACAAGAATAATCTTAAACCAACTGAATACTTGAAAGAACAAAACAAGGATCTGTCCTGGTTACAAATAATGCAACTGCAATCCAGATATAAGGATGATCAAAAGCTTGGTTTTTATGATAAACCTGTAGAGATGGATAAAATCTGGATTAAGGGCGGAAGAAGTATGATAAGGAATATATATGGATTTTTATTGGAAAATAAAATGCAAGAAGAGGTGGTAAGATCAAGTATGGCGCCGTGGAATAAAGATCTAGGTTATGATATAGGAATTGATAAATGGTTAAAAATATGGCATACCAATATAAAGATTACTAGGGCAAATTCGTTTAAAGAAAACATTTATAAAGTTGCTTTGAGATGGTATATGGTTCCAGTCAAACTAGCTAAGATTTATAAAACGACCTCCAACATATGTTGGAAATGTAAGCAGAATGTAGGTACTTACCTACATATGTGGTGGAATTGTTGTAAAGCCAAGGATTACTGGACAATGATTACTAAACTTTTGGGGAAAATGATTGGAAGACAAATTCCACTCGAACCTGAAATATGTATTCTAAACATGATTCCAGAGTCGTATGGGAAAATGGATAAAAATTTGTTGGTTCACAGTTTTACGGCTGCTAGGATTTTATACGCAAAGTACTGGAAAGAGGAGAAAATTCCAGAAAAGAGTGAGGTTATACGGAAGATATGTGAAGTGGCTGAAATGGATAAATTAACATGTATATTAAAGGGGAAAGATGATACGACTTTTGAAAAAAATTGGGAGAAATGGCATATGTGGACACGAAATATGAAGGGTTAAATTGTTTTTGTGTGTATTTTGGCATGAAATAGGGATAGTTATATTGTTTGTAATGAATCTAGTGGAAGCCGTATGTGTATTTGTTATGGAACGAAGGAATAGCTGTTTGCTCATCTGTTATGAAATGGAAAATAGCAGAATGCTTGTTTTTAATTTTGAAAATGAAATAAATTACCAAAAAAAAAAAAAAATCAAGTTCGGTGCACAAGTAAAGGGGAGAGTGAACACATCTGAAGACTTCTTACTTCTTCTTGTAATGACAAAAGCATGGTTGGTTGGTTTCATCCCAGTGCAGGCTGCTAAACTGCTTTATCTGGTGTCTTAATGTTTTTTAAAAATGTGGACAGTAAAAATTGACTTTCTCCTCCTTTCTCTAACAGATCAATGTGGCTTCTTGTGATGGAAAATGCCCCTCTGCCACAATTTTTAATGTCAACATTGATAGCCATTTGAGATTCTGTAAATGCTGTCGTGAAAACGGAGTACAGAATCTAACTGTACCACTCTACTGCTCAGGAAATGGCACTGAAATTATGTATGTCATCCCGGAGCCTACAGACTGTTCATGTCAGTGGAATTAATAATGTAATTAACTATTTTAGAGATTACATTCAAACAGGGAATTTATATGTTTATTATTGGGATTATTCAGATGTAATAAATATATAATTAATATATTTTTCTAATATTTCAGACACATTTATTGAAATTTGATTCTATTACTGCAGCAAAAATTATATATTGGCATGTATACAGCAGTTAATTCATTTTATGGTAATTTACTTGTCTTTTTGTTCAGATATGTGGACTGATTTGTTCCTGATAAGGTTTTGTCTTCCTCAAAAATTATTATTATTATTATTATTGGAAAATTTGTATTCATTCTTTGCTTTTCCAATAGTATTACTCAATGAATATAATATGCTTAAAATAAAACCTATTGCACAGTTTAATATTTATATTTCATTGATAACTTTAAAAACATATGGGATACTAATATTCACAATATCCATATTTTCTAATCATGCACATGCTACTTTTTTGTATTCCTTACGTACAGGCTCAATATTGTGGATAGTTTTTAAGTATATCTAAAAACTTCAAATTAACCATTTTGACATCTTACAGTGCATTTTATATTTATATTTTTACCAAAAAGAGAATATTTTCTATATTACCTTGCATTAAGAGATGGCACAAAGCCTGATGAAAATACATAGATTTCTGTTACCTAAAAAAAAGCACTTTGATTTTTTTTGCTTTGCATTTAAAATATTTTGCCAGTGTTCAAATTGAAATATCTGATTATTATTATAATTATAACTGTTCTCCTATAAGCAATGTACAGCTTTCAAATAATGTATCTATTTTGTATGTTACATGAGCAGTGATAATATCACAAGGAATGGGGAAACCTACAAACTAATTTACAAAATCAATAGGACTAGAAGTTAGTACATTAAGAAGAACCTGATGGTTTCTATTCAGGATGATACATATGGGGTGAGATTTTCAGATGCAAATATTTCCAGACAAACAACTCCCCACATGAAGTCTTAGGTGGTATCATTCATATAAAATGTTATCATCAGAGATTGTATATTTGAACTGATCCTCAGTGGAGAGCTAGTTGACAGAGATGGCGAGCTAATTTGAACGGTTCATGTGGTGACATGGACTGTGCAAACTGTTCATAGTATTCCTAGATATAAATTAGCCTGTTTAAATGTGAATCATTATGGATTTCATATTGATTTAGTAAACTATACATTATTTTTAAACACAATGCTTGCTTTGATATATGTAGTGATGCAATTCAATAAAGATATTTTGAAAGACATTTGAGCTAAACTATTACTTATCATTGCTAAATTATTAAAAAGTGGTCTTTCATCTAGTAGTTTAACTGTGGTTTCTGTGGGGGTTGGAAACTAATGTGTGTTAAGTGCCGTCAAGTGACCTCTGACTCATGGCAATCCTATGAATCAATGTCCTCCAAAATGTCCTGCCATCAATAGCCTTGCCCAGGTCTTGTAAACTAAGGGCCCTGGCTAACTTTATTGAGTCAATTTATCTCATGTTGGGTCATCCTCTTTTCCTACTCCCTTCAACTTTTCCTAGCATCATTGTCTTTTGCGGTGACTCTTTGTCTTCTTGTAACATGAGCAAAATACAATAGCCTCAGTTTAGTTATTTTAGCTTCTAGGGAGAGTTCAGGCTTGATTTGATCTAGAACCCCCTTCTTTGTCTTTTGGCAGTCCACAGTATCTTAAACAGGGTTGCCAAGTCGGACTTACCTCGCCGGTGGGGGACTCCTGGGTGGCTCCTGGCGTGCGTGCCACATGCATGTCACAGGGAAGTGACGTTATGACACCGGGCACGCTGGGGGCGGGGCCACGACCATAGAGTTTTCCCTTGTATGGTCATGGCCCCGCCCCCAGCTTGCCCGGCGTCATAACGTCACTTCCCTGTGACGTGCACGCTGGGGCAGGGTTCCCCCCAGGGCCCGATTCCCCGGCGTCAGGGAACGGGCCTCTGGGGCAGGGGGATTTCCGCCCCCCAGGGGGACTTAGCAGCCCTAATCTTAAACACTCACCTCCAACCCCACATTTCAAATGAATCAACTTCCTTCCTGTCAGCTTTCTTCATTGTTTAACTTTCACACCCATACATAGTAATGGAGAATACTGTGGCATGAATTAACTTAGGTAAGAGATAACTATTCTAACCCCCCCCCCCCCCAAACAACAAAGGCTTTTGAAGAGAAACATTTTGAATGGAGTAGGGTCAGAGAAAGGAGATGCTTAACCTTTCATTGATTGCTATTTTCTCACTGTAAATTCCTCTCACCATTGGGGGAAGTAGCTAAGAGGGTGTATCGGAAAGAAAAAACAGTTTGCAGAGAAGAGACTTAAGTAGTTTTCCACCAGCCACTCCTTCACCAAAACAGGCCCTTCTTGAAGTCACTTGTTCCTTCCAAAAGGGCCATTAGGGATGTCCTGCATATATTTGTGTGTAAAGTATTGTTGTCCCAGCCATCTCTCCCCAGATAAGGACACATGACACACATGTATGGGTTTAGCTGGTTTATTTAGATCTGTGTAATAATCTATTAAATATGGTAATGTAAAATTGTAAGAGGTGGGCTGTGCTACACAGCCTTACAATGGCTCCTATTCAGTGGGTAAATCCACCCTGCCCAGTGATACCATACTTGCTTATTCTTGCCTGCACAAGCAATATGCCAGTGGATGCCAAGCTTCATTCCCTTCCCTAATGTACCATAAGCTTCGACCAGGTTTGGCTCAATGCCACTCATTACTAAGGGCATTTCTTCTCATCACTCCCAATGCTTCAGGGTGCCTGACAGTCTTCCTACCCTATCCTAAGCAACCTGCACCATTCCTACCAAACAAGGGGTTAACCTTACGTTTGGGAGAAAGAGTTTAATGAACAGAAAATATTGTCATTTGGGGGGGGAGAGATTTAATTAAACTAGAACAATTTGTTCTGTTTGTAAAGAAGTGTTTTTGCTGATCACTTAAGATTGTTCTGTTTATAAGTCTTCACTAACAGCTGACAGTTGCAAAAATGTGCTGGAAAAATTTATAATGCAACTGCTTCAGACTTGGATTTTTTCAGACAGCTACTGAATAAGTGACCCTACCATATTTTAATCTTTGTACAATAATCCCCATCCAAAGACACTGCTAGCCCTGTTTATAAATAACAGTGAACACATATAATTAATGTACAGTGTACACAATTTTTTAATATGTGACTGAGTACAGAAGAACATAAGAGACGCCAATGTTGGATCAGGCCAAAGGACCATCCAGTCCAACACTCTGTCACACAGTGGCCAAAAATACCAGGTGCCATCAGGAGGTCCACCAGTGGGGCCAGGACATTAGAAGTCCTCCCACTGTTGACCCCCGCAAGCACCAAGAAGACAGAGCATCACTTGCCCCAGAGTCCCTATCTATACCTTGTGGCTAATAGCCACTGATGGACCTCTGCTCCATATGCTTATCTAATTCCCTTTTGAAGCCGTCCATGCCTGTAGCCGCCACCACTTCCTGTGGCAATGAATTCCATCTGTTAATCACTCTTTGGGTGAAGAAGTACTTCCTTTTATCCGTTCTAACCCGACCGCTCAGCAATTTCATGGAGTGCCCACAAGTTCTTGTATTGTGAGAAAGGGAAAAAAGTACCTCTTTCTCTACCTGCTCTATCTCATGCATAATGTTGTAAACCTCAATCATGTCACCCCTCAGTCGTCTTTTCTCCAAGCTAAAGAGCCCTAAGTGCTTTAACCTTTCCTCATAGGGAAAGTGTTCCAACCCTTTTATCATTTGAGTTGCCCTTTTCTGCACTTTTCCGAAAGCTATAATATCCTTTTTAAGGTGTGTTGACCAGAACTGCACACAGTATTCCAAATGAGGTCGCACCATTGATTTATATAGGGGCATTATGATATTGGCTGATCTGTTTTCAATACCCTTCCTAATAATCCCCAGCATAGCATTGGCCTTCTTTATTGCAGTCACACACTGTCTCGACATTTTCAGTGAGTTATCTACTACAACTCCAAGATCTCTCTCTTGATCAGTCTCTGCCAGTTCAGACCCCATCAATGTGTATTTATATTTAGGATTTTTGGCTCCAATGTGCATCACCTTGCACTTGGCCACATTGAACCCCATTTGCCATGTTGACGCTGTATAGAAAAATTGCTTTCTGCACACAGAGGTTTGAAAAGGCTATAGTGGGCGTGGCCAACTCTGAAGCCAGCTGGAACTCCATTCCTTTGTGTCCCTGTCCAAAAATAGCCCTGGGAAGGCTCAAGGTATCAAGTCCCTGGATGTAAGTTTTCACTACTTTAGTAAGTGTAGTTCTCAGCAATACTCTTTTGCCCTCTCACCTTTCCAAAAAGATGGATTCTACAGGTGGAGGCCTTTAGCTAGTTCACATGATCCCCGTGGGCCAACCACAGAAGCATACATGATAAGGTTAGAAGGAATGGATTCAGGCCTGAATTTTGCCTTCTGAGTTGCAAAACCCTGCCACTGAAATCGGTGTGGCTTTGGATCCTCTGATTCTAAGTTTCATTAGGTCAGATGTATTGTAACTGACTTTGTAAAAAAAGTTATTCTGATTTTTACAGCTTTGCAATGTGTAAAGGTTTCCCTTGCTTGAAAGCCATTCAAATCCAACTCTAGGGGGCGGTGCTCATCTCCATTTCCAAGCCAAAGAGTCAGCGCTGTCCAAAGACATTTCTGTGGTCATGTGGCTGGCATGACTAAACACCAAGGTGCACAGGACGCTGTTACCTTCCCACCGAAGTTGTACCTATTTATCTACTTGCAATTTCTTGCTTTCAAACTGCTAGGTTGGCAGGAGCTGGGACCAGAGAGGGGAGCTCACTCCAGTCATGCGGCACTCAGGTCTGGACCTTCCATCCTGCAGTTCAGGGTCTTAACCACTTGAGCCACTGCAGTCCCCTTGCAATGTGTGACACCCCCCCCCCCCACACACACACAATTAAAAATAAGATATGATCTGTAGGGCTTTGCAAAAA